ATGATTACAAATATTCATTTCGGAAACTAACTCGCATGAATTTCAAGAAAATATCATTCGATCCTCTCCTTCTAAGTATCATGCGATATTTATACAGATCACAAGAGCCTTTGCTAGAAAGAATCAAGAAAAGCCAGCTAGAGGATTTTGGAGGAGGAAGTGGAGCAAAGACTCAAAGCTTGGTAAATTATCCCAAATTCTCCTCTTGATGTACTTATTGGGGATTTAAAACTAAATTATAGGGTTTTATTTTGACTTTTGGTCTTGCCTGTGAGGATTTGTGATTGCATATTACATATAAGCAAAGACTGGCTTTTGCATGTCAATGAGTAGAGATAAAAATATGATCTTTGTATCTATGAACATGAAAAATATGATATTTCCTGGTTATCAAGCCCCATATGATCAAATGATGATTGTCTTGCTCAGAATTAATGTAAACATGGGTTGGATGTTGATTTTTGTAACATAATTCTCATGTAGAAAATTCATGCAGGACATCCTGCTAGTGTTTTGATCATAACTTCCACTATGAATGTCCTTTTTGAGTTAAATTTTTTATTTTTAAATCTTTACTCATGCAGCTTTCATTTGAATTTGGTTTGGTTATTTTTGGATATCATTTGCTATCTCGAATTCTAGAAGTGGATGCATATGTCTGAAACAGTCTGCTTGAGATAGGTTCACTACAGAGCATAACTCTCTATTTATATCTTGCATGTATTAAATTCCTATTAATTTAGAAACTAGACTCATGTGAATTTCTTTTGAAATTGGTTTGATTCATTTTCAATATCGTTTGCTATTTGTAATTCATGATGAATTGTGCTTTATGTGCACTGAAACCAGTGTGATAGTGCTCTGTGACACCCATGCACTATCTCGTTTATATTTCCATGACCATTAGTCATTATTTTAATCTATTTAGATTTTCCGAAACTAAACTTTCATATCTTTCATTTGATTCTAATTTTATCCAATTTTGAGATCTTTTACTAGTTCAAATCTATGGCCAAACTCTATGTATGTGCACAAAATATCCAGTCTTCCCTCTAGTGGTGTGTTGCATGTATCTCATTTTCTATTTATGTTTTTAGTGAATAAAATTTTACAATTTGAAACTAGATTCGTTAAGTTATCCATATCGTATTTGTGGTTGTATTTTGATAGTGCCTTATACCTGAAAGAGCTAGCAAGATGAGAGAGTAAATTCTGCTCTCTGCATGAGTCTAAATCCTAAACCCTTTTATGTTGTATAGGGCATAACTCTCTTTAAAAAGTTTGCATGCATGAAATTCTTTTTGTTTCACAAATTTTGGGTGTCATTTGACCCCTCATTTGTGCACTTAAATTCGTAACATAGCCTACAGTTACAATCTGTACATGTCCTGCATATTCTGTGTATAACTTGACCCATGCACATAAGTCTTGAAAATAACTTATTGTTCTGAAAAGTAAACACATTCGAGTCATATGGTACTAGTTTCATGCATTTTAGGCATCGATTGCTCTACCATCCATCCATCTCAAACTGCTGCATGTACACTGTAATTGCTGATGTGCATATTATAAGTGTTAGGTGTAACCATCTAGAGTGTAGCATATATCATGATATAAGTTATAAGTGAGAAAAATAATAAAAGACATAGTTGTCTAGAATCTCATATGGGTATACATGTATGTGCATATAGAACAAAGAATCTTGGATTCGTTCGTCGGTCCAGAAGAACCAGGCACAAACGGTAGATAACATTTCATTATTTCCTCTCAATTCTTTAATAGTTCGATTGATTACTTTCTTGAAATTTCTGCAAGTTAACTTCCCATGCTCACTTGTATAACTTATCACTTTCATAATATTCCTATTTGAATCATTTCATGCATGGGCTCTTTGTTGATTGATTAACCATTGCTATCCAAATGTTGTTTATTTTAATTTTATATCGTTGATATTCTCCGAATGATTATATTGTAGCAATTCGACTTGCTTTGATGATTCCATTATTGAGAATGATAGTATTCTTTCCTTTATTGATGGTTGACACTCTATATTTATGGATTATGCCCTACGTGAAGTAAGCTTCACCGGTGAGTAATAATAGAAATGGGTCTCGACGGGGACAATGCCCTGTGTGAGGACACTCACCGGTGGAAACCTACAATCTTGCTCGAAAAATGAAGTACAAGATTAAATGCAGCGAAGTTAATAGACAAGAAATCATCTCTAGAAATTGGAAATTAATTTATGACCAAGAACCAACGATATTAGAGATGAAATGCATCAATGGAGAGATGAAATGCATCAATGGCAAGTACATGTCTTATCAGCTCTCTATTGGGGCATATCACACTATTTTAAACGCTATTGATAATCTCTAGTACAAGGAACTAAAAAATAAAAGAAAAAAGAAAAAGGAAAATAATAAAACTTTTTCCTGCCATCAACTGCATAGGTAATCACTAGTCCAATAACAATGCCATACTACAAAAAGCAATAAAGCTACATCTTTCCTTCTAAACTAGACATAGCGGATAAATGAGAAAGGCGACGGCGGTTACCAATGCCATAAACAACCAAAAACAACCCTCCTTGTAATAATTGAATCATGCAACAAAAATCAGAATCAAACACCTGGATCACCCCGGGGTTAACTGCAAGTAACTACTCTAAAAATACCAATTGAGGGATGCTAACTACTAATAACATAATTCAAAGGGTGATAAAGTGCTACTTAAGTTATAGATGAGGTAGTTAGCAAACAATGCCTAACAATTAACAACAAAAAAGATGTAGTTAATAAACAATGCTTAATTATTAACAACAACAAAAAAAAGCTACCATCTTTCTTTCTACTAATAGAGAGAAGGAACAAAATTTAGAAAAAGCCCTGCAATTTTTTCTTCCAAGGGTACTATCTATTATCTAACAATGCCTATGCCATAAACAACAAAATTGCTATAATCTTTCCTTTTGATAATCGAAATCAAGCAACAAAAATCAGAGAAAATCACCTTTGCCGTCCTCTCCCGTTTTCTTGGAACCTATCATCATGCATGTAAAAAGCCCCTGCAGTTGGCACCGCAAATGGCTCGTTCTCCTTCTTGCTCCCCTCCCCTTCTCCGTCCCTCTTCTCCCCTTCTTCGTCATCGTCCTTCCTTCTAGAACCTTCTAGATCCTTCTCATCCCCTCCTTCGAGATCCTTCTCCTCTTCCTCCTCAACAACGATCTCATCCTCCTCTTCAATCTCCTCCTCATATTCTTCATCATACTCTTCGTCCTGTTCCTCCTCGTTCTCGTACGCCGGAGCGCCGCCCTCGCCGTCCGATTCCCCGGCCGTCGTCGCTCGCCTCCCTCCGCCTCATCGCCGACAGATCCATCGCGTCATCGGGATCGCTCTCGTACTCATCCACCTCTGGCTCAGCCATAGCCGCACGTACGTCCTACCCCTAATTCGAGAATCTAGGGTTTAGATCTGAGGAATCTAGGCCAGGGCTAGGGTTTTCGCGGATCGATTTATTGAGAGAGAAGGGGATTAGGTCAAAGTGATGAGGGAGTTTTATCTCCTTTCCAAACTCTGGGGCGGTTAAGGAGGAAATATCCTCCAACTGCTTGGTTTATTTTCCGGACACGAGAAATCCTGACCACAATGTGACTCTAGATTTCCAAGCAATAGGAAATTTACACGTCGACGGAGGTGGGACCCAGATAAGTGGTGGAATTGTGCGGTTGAAGAAGCTATTGAAGTCTGACAACTTAGCAGTTTTTTTAACTGGCTGTGAAACGTGATGGAGTTTTAAAAATGTTTGAAGTTGGATTTAGTAAAGATTTGCTAAGATATAGAGCCCCTTTGGGGGAATTCATTTTGTGTTCAACATAGTTTTTAAGCTAGTTTATTCAGATCTATATATTTGGTGATATTCCAAATAAGCTAGTTGACAATTTAAAAACAATTTTTGAAAAATAAGTTTATAAGCTTATTTAAATAAGCTAGTTTTGACCAAGCAAATAACTTTTTTATCCTTAAAAGGGATCTAAGATTTTTATAAAACCCGAAAGTCACCATAAAAGAAAGTCTTTTCGAACACCTTCATAGGGTACCAAATATTTTACCCTATTCGAAGATGAAATTGATGTTTTCGTATCTAAATGCAATACTCTTTGATTTGCTGGTGGAATGCAAGTAGGGATGAGCAAAATATTTTACCTCATTTGAAGATGAAATTGATATTTTTAGCATTTAAATGGAACTAGTATTCATCCCGTGCTTAGCACGGCATCCTTATAGATTATCTTTGTGTGCAATTTTTCCCACAACATTTTTGTGGTTTGTCACGTGAAATTTATCTTATAATTATCTTATACTTTATAAACATGGTTTCATATGCTAATAGTTAATTATTAACAATCAATGATTTGCTCTTGAAATATTCATTTGCTTGTCGAAGTGGTTCATTTGCTTGTGGAAGTGATCAGTGCTATTGTTCGACATTATTCCGACTTGTATTGTCGAAGTGGTTCATTTGCTTGTGGAAGTGATCAGTGCTATTGTTCGACATTATTCCGACTTGTATATCAATTCCAATTTCTTAGGGAAGTGATCAGTGCTATTGTTCGACATTATTCCGACTTGTATATCAATTCCAATTTCTTAGCATCATTAAATTTCACATCTGTAAATTCTGACTATATCAACTATATATTTAGGGTATGACTGTATCAATTCCAGTATTTAGACCCGTGCAAAGCACAATTTCTAAAAAAAATTCACAACTTGATTGTAGCCATTGATATTAACCAAGGGCTCTTTGTGATTTTATCCAATATGGTTTGACTCATATTAATTGTTCCATGTAATAGTATTAAACAATGGCTTGTATTAATTAAAAAAAGATTCATAACTTGTAGATTCCGTATAAAGGAAAAATAACCAGACAAAAACACATAAATCCCCTTGGAAATAAACTATATATTAGAAGCGTGAAATTCAATACACCAAAATTGGGCAAAAGCATAATAAATAAAAAACAATATACATGTGGTTATGATAGTTTTATAATTATCATAACAACTTAAAATTTTGCATAAATAAAAAATAGCATAAAAATAGTAATAGAAATCATTAATTAACAGAATAGCATGACTAATAAAAATAGCATGACTAATAAAAATAGCATGACTAATAAAAATATTTCACTTCTCCTAACATAGCAGTGCATAAAAGATTCCTATATAATTTTAAAAAAATTGTTTTGTTTTGTTTTCATAACATTTTGCAATTGACAGCGCTGGGGGATTAAAAACACTAATTCAAGTAGCCAACCAACTCTAGACCGTCCTAAAGAAATCAAGATTATTTAACTTAGGATGCAAAATATAGCACAATGATAATCAACAAAAATGGCACAACAGTCCACACTCATCTTAAATAGTAAACAGAAAATCAAAAAATGGTATTCAAACGCAGCAGCGTCTATCATCACTCGCGTTTTAATACGTATAAAAATAGCTCAATTGGTAGGCACTAACACAAAATAAAAACCTGAAAAATATTTTTGAGGAAGAAAAAAAAAAGATGAAAACAAAAAAGGGGAATCTAACCTGTAAAGTGAAGAGCATGTCCTCAATCTGAACCTCTTTGGTTAAGAAATCAGCCCCAATCGTGGCTTTGTACTGGTTGCTGATCTTCTTATTCACATATCTAAAATTACCGAATTAAGTCCAAATCACATGTAAAATATCTTCAAATCTCAGATCACATTAAAAGATACAGATTATTGAAATTCAAAGCTCATAAGAACTCAAGGATACCGATTCATCAACGACGTCTTCCCAGCCCTAAACACGATCAAACAAAAGTTTTCAAAAATTACAAAGAATCAGACGCAAAATATGAAATTCAAATGTCTGGTAATAATAAACAAACTTCACCTTCTTTTCTTGCGTGGGAGGTCAAGCAAAAGAGGACGGAGTGCTGGGTATTCCAAGGTTCAGGCCATGGAGGAAAGCACTCCTTTCCAAACATGCAGGGAATTTGGTGATGGATCCATAGCAAGAAAACTACTCGACCCATGGCTCTTGGCTCTTTCGTTGAATCGCTGGCCCACCGGAGTCTCAACCATGGCCGATGTACGCACTCGTTGTCGCTGAGGATGATGGCCTTGAGAAGCATACACCTTTGAGACGCCATGGATTCGAATCGACTGGATGGATCCCTTGTGTGTGTGTGTGTGTGTGTGTGAGAGAGAGAGAGAGAGAGAGAGAGAGAGAGAGAGAGAGAGAGAGAGAG